AAACGGTGGCCTTGTGATGACCCGGTTATGAGAGGTATTAGATTTGACTTATGTTAAGAAAGGTAGGGGTAGACCTAAAAAGACTTGGTTAGAAAATATTAGGAATGACCTTTCTTTATTAGATTTAAACGAGAATTTGACTTTTAATAGGACACAATGGAGAAAAAGGATTCATGTAGCCGACCCCACGTAGTGGGATAAAGGCTTGATGTTGTTGTTGTTGTATATTTATAAAATTTTGGTGAAATCAGTTTACGAAACAAACACCAGGCGAATCCAAAATCTCTACTAGCATTGACATGTGTCAATTTCTTAAGCATTTATATCAACACCCAAAAATTAAGAAAAAATTCGTATAATTGAAGCAGTATAATATCTATATTATAACGAAGACAATTTGTGACTTGGAATTTATAATGACTCCTGAAATAATTTATTTCACTGGGTCAAAATTTGGATTATTACAATGATAAATCCTCTTGAAACACAGGCTGGCCATCACTTCCTTACCTCTCCCATATAAACTTTCCTCAACTTGTAGAACAAAGAAATAAACATATTCTGATATAAAGAATCGCCAACAAAACTTACAGTTCTGAAAACTTAGTATTTATTAACATAATAGTCATATATATGCTTATTTTTAAGGCAAAAGTTTTCATGGATCACTTACCTATGCTTTTATTTCAGAATCGGTGAATAAAAAGGATAGAATCTAGAGGGAAGAGATTGCAACTTGAAGGATCAAGTGAAATATTGAAGATTAACCTTTGAAATCTCAAAAAAATTAAGCAAAATGGTCAAGAAACGAGCTTGAACAATGTTAGATGATGGAGAGGATGAGATTAGTGCTTGGGAGAAAACTTTTTCGTGAAATGGGAGATGGAGATAATCGAGATGAAATAGGGCCTTATACAACAAAAATTTTGACTAAATTTTTGATGAAAAATCCCCCAAAATTTCTGCCAGAAATTCTAATGGAATTAATGAAAACAATTCCAATGGAAAATCTATTATAATTTTTTATTTCACCAGAAAATTTGTCGAAAAAATCTTCTTTTCCTGTAGTGACTACATTTTTTTTTAAATACCCTCAAATCATTATAAAAAATATTAAAATCACAGTCACAAAATATAAAAGTATATGAGAAAGCTTATCACGTTATAATTTAAAGTAAAATTCATTTATTCTCTACAATAGTTTGTGATATGAAACCCCTTAAGTAAAAGAAAGATTACTATTAAACATCGAGGTGCCTTTTGGTGTAATGACTAGAATTTCTATAAGAAACTCCATAGTTAAGCATGCTCATCCTTTAGCAATTCTGGGATGGGTGACCTACTGAGAAGTTACACTAATTGGGCAAAACCGTGAGGCTCTTATAGGCCAAAGTGGACAATATCTTGATAGTAAAGAGTTTGAGATGTTACAAATGGTATTAGAGCATTACACCAGTCAGAGGATGGGTGCTAAGTGTCATACAAGATAAATTGTTATATCATGAGAGCAACCTCTTGAACCCTGTATGGGATAAAATGCTATATGACGAGAGCCACCACTTGAATTTATAGGGGTCACCTCTAGAGTCCTATATGCCTGGTGGATGATTCTGAGATATAG